TTCTTTTTGTAAAGCACAAGTGTCCCATCACTTTTTTGAGACACTGTATGTCATAAACAAGAAATCTTGTTAATGCCATTTACAAATAATAGGACATTTTTGAAAATTTCGGAGAACCAAAAAGGCGGGCTTCGAAGACCAGTTGTCCGTGGATCACCATTGGAGAAACGCTGTATTTTGTATATGTGAATGAATTACCAAAAATGTTTGCCATGAACATGATTGTGATAGTAGGATCTTACGAGTATTTACTGCATGCATTTATTTTGGGAGGAATTTTATTCCAAATAACTGTTAATAAAATTAATTCTAAATTATTAATTTTGTTTGCTGTTTCTCGTGATTCCACTTTTACAGACCATTTAAGATTCTTTAAGAAATATATAAAGTACTTTTTATTTCGTTGAATAGCAGTACAAAATTTATTAGACTTCCGTGGTTAGCGTAATATTCATTACCACTTCCAGTGTCACGCCGTACTGTGTGATTAGTCAATATAACAGTTTAAGAAAAGTTGATCATTTATAATAGTATATGTAAATAAGAAAAGAAGCTTGTAGATTTTGGTAGAAGGAAACTTTTTTTAATCGGATGTCTTCATTGGGCGCTTTAAAAAACTGAACCTTGGACATTTATCCTGTTTGTTTGTGCTATGGTCTGGTCCTAATTGCAAGGCAGACATTTCAGTGCTTTGAAACTTAGGACTTTTTTGTGATTTGCGAGTGGAGGACCACACGAATTAGATACAAACAAGAAAGAACGATAATGACAACCTAAGCAGCAGTGAAAGACGATTGTGGGGAAAGGGAGGGATTTCACTTGTCTGTTGCAAAATTTGAGCCAAATGGGTATTTTAGTTAACGAGAAGCCTTCAGGAGCAAATACAATTCTTGAACTGAGGCTGTAAAATCTTTAAAAATATGATGTCAGTTATAATCTGTGAAAATACTAAGATGATATAACCCATCTTAAAATATTTACAGATTATAACACAAACTGTTCAGATTGTTTTAAAAACAAGAGGTTTCCCCCCTTTTAATTACCCATTTTCTCCATAAAAGCACAGTTGTGAAGAACTTTAAACTTGACTTCATGACCTCGTTTGGAAGACACTTTGCTTAAGAGTTCCTCATTTGATTTATGTACGAGGATACAATGTATTATTCCCCTCCTCCCATATCTCATTTCTTATTAATCACATCTCTTTCTTGATATAAAAAATCATTTTCTGAGATTAACCTTGCCTTTCACTATCTATTTTATAAAAACATCTGTTTTAATAATTATTTTATTATGATATGTAATACCATATTCTTAGAGAAATTTTGTGTTTTTATGAAGCTTATTTTTCTTTTGTTGTATTTTGTATTTCGATTTAATGTTCATATCAATAAAATCTGTAGATTTTATGAAACAAGAATAATGTAAATTTTCGTTAATTGTTAACTGTAAATTTGGCATGCTGTTATTCTGCCATTTTAATTCATGTTACAGTGAAACTGCTTAATACCGGTTATTATGAGTCATTACTAGATCTTGATGAGCATGATATTTTTGTTTCATATATTGCAAATTAATCGCATTTACTGGTGATTACGTAACTGTTCCAGTTCTTGGTTTTAATTGTGACCATTCGTTGTACCTCATATGTACCAGACATTATGCATAGTCACTGGAGTAAAAAATTCTTGCCCATTTATCAAATTTGTCAACTTTATTTGGGAGTTATTAAAAAGTCCGTATAAATAAGAGATTCAGTAAAATTTAACAAACTCACCTAGATGACAGGTGATTATGCATTTTCATCGGATTAACTGCTGTTTTCCTTAATATAATCTCTTACACACATATATGTCATAATAAAAGCAAAGGAAAAGACGGAACACTGTAGATGCATGATTAGACCCATAATGAAGAAGATTTTGATTGTGTAGTATGCTAGTAATGCTAACTTGGTAATATCTAAAGAACTTGGCAGTTGAGGCAGTTTTAATTCCATTTTTATTTGCAACTGATATTAAGGCACTCCAGTCGTGCCTTTCCACAGAAGATTTACATTTTTGATATTGTTGAGATAGAAAGCAAGCCAGCGAGAAGATGTACATTCACGCCTATTACATAACCTCCTCATATAAATGCTGCGTCATAAGTTTTTCTACATTTTTCTAGAAGCTACTCTGTTACATAACCTTTCATATAAATGCTGCATCATAAGTTCTCCTACACAGATGCCTTCTCGCCTTCGTTCTGCTAACACCTCCGCTATGCTCCTCTTTCTTTGTTAGAACATTATAGCGTATTAAAGTCAGTCGTATCTAATAATTTAATTACTGAATAAGATATTTGAGTAACTTCGTCTGGAAAAAATCATCTGCTCTAAAATAAAATAAAGATATGCTGTTAAAAGTGAAAAGTCCTGAGTCGTCATTTTTCTCTGTGGTGCAATCATCCCAGCTTCGTCAACCATCTGCCAAAACGTAAAATGGAATAGCCTCACCATTCACCCACGATGTGTTGGAATAACTGAAAACATTACATATATATATATAAATATACAGTGGCGGCCAAAATTGCGGACACTTTTGGAAATTTTTATGTTTTTGAACTTTGTGTCCTTATAGAAAATGTTACGTTTCGCAAAATGCAAACTTGTATATATCATTTTAAAGCGAATTTATTATTGAATTCAATACAAAACACAAAATTCAATTATTTGCAACACAAAAAAGTTATATGTACTTTAATATAAATAAAAAAACACAGTTATGAAGTGGTTTGTAATGTCTAGCTTTCCTGGCCAATCACTGTTCTTGTTCTGAGAACCAATCAAATGTTAGTAACTGCCAGTAGAAGCTGACATCATGTTTACTCTTGAAATACTTCATTATTTTGCTTTGTTCTGTAGAAGGAGGACCTGTTTTTTATACATTGCAATTACAAATAGGAATTTTTGTAAATTTTTTTAAATATTTAGTCAAGAAGCAATGACATCAAATAAAAAAGTAGATTGGACACCTAGAAAGAGATGTAATATTATTGTGTTACGAGAAAGTGGTCTTTCCTATGCTGAAATTGCAAGACATGTGAGTGGTTCAGTGACTACATCTGGAGTCCGAAATTTTTGTTTACGATATCAGGAGACAAATTCAATAAAAAACAAAGAAGGAAAAGGCCGAAAAAGGTGCACCACATCTATTGATGAGAGAAGAATAAATAGACTATCTCTCCAAGATACAAAAATGTCATCAGCAGTCATCAGAAGTGATCTCTGAATGATGCTGGTGTTTCTGTCAGTTCAAGAACAATCAAGAGAAGATTAACAGATGTTGGACTGAGAGGTAGAATTCCATGAAAAAAGCCTTATCTTAATTTTCAGCAACAAAAAAAAAAAAAAAAAAGAGACTACAGTGGGCAAAGGAACATTCTAGAACCAAAACTTCTACCTTCCACCAGAGATCTCTTTCCCAACAATGCTTCATTTATTTTTCAGCAGGATTCTGCTCCTTGCCACTCGGCCAAAATATCGAAAGAGTGGTTTTGTACAAAGAACATTAAATTGTTGTCATGGACAGGAAACAGTCCTGATCTCAATCCTATCGAAAATTTGTGGCACCGTTTGAAAACTCTTGTCCGAATGAGGCGCCCATCAAATAAAAGGGAACTAATTGAGGCTATAATTGTTTCCTGGCATCATGTAATAACGAAAGAAGAGCTTAAAACTCTTGTCAGCTCAATGAAACGTCGATGTGAAGCTGTAATTAAAAATAAAGGGTACCCTACTAAGTACTGATAACTCACTGCAATCATCACTATCTAATGTATATCGATAACTATTATAGTTTAACATTTTTTGTATTGCAAATAATTGAATTTTGTGTTTTGTATTGAATTCAGTAATAAATTCCCTTTAAAATGATATATATAAGTTTGCATTTTGTGAAACGTAACATTTTCTATAAGCATACGAAGTTCAAAAACATAAAAATTTCCAAAAGTGTCCACAATTTTGGCCACCACTCTACATATATAATATATATATATATGCATATGTACTGGCAAGTTTGATAAATTTAACATTTGGTCAGAGATTGCATCAAACAACAAAATGCATAGCGTTGGCACTGGAACTACGTACTATTATTTCCTTCACTCTAAGCCAATGCTTCACTGGTATTACAATTAGGAGATTTTGCATGTCTTGGAGATTTTCTTAAAAAGTATTGGGCAAAAGCTGCAAATAAAGCTTCCATTGGAAAAGAACAAATCTATGAGTCAAATATGTGAGGATACGCATGTGTGGTAGGCAAAGCTGGTGGAGTTGGTGCAGACGCATAAAGCTGCAAAATTTAAAGGAAGCTTTTTTTTTTTAATTTAGGAGGCACTGAGTGGCAAATTTAGGACAGTATTTGTTCACTTGCTTTTCTCTCTGAAGAAAAAGTTCGAAAAGAGCAGAAGAAGAGACAAATCATTTTTCGTCCTGACAATTAGAGCTGTCATACAATGGCTCAAACACATGAATATTTAACGGCTGAAAACATTGAATTGATTGGTCAGCCCCCCGCACAGCCCTGACTTGGCACTCAATGACTTTTTTTATTCTTGCACATCAAAAATAAATTACGTGGTCAGTGATTTGTGATACCTGAAGAAGTGGTTGATGCATTCAAAACACATGTTTTGTAGTTACCTCAATCGGAGTGGAAAAAGAGATTCAAAAATTGGTTCAAACACATACAAATACAATACAAAAGTGTATTGATCCTCATGGAGAATATTTTGAAAAACAATAAAACCAGTTTCGATCATAAACATTTGTTTTCTCCTTATTAGGCCTGAAGTATAAATAGCAATCCTCATACATTTTTTTATCTAGTTCCAACAAGAGTACCCAGCACTTGTACATCATTGTGTAACTGAATGGAATAGTTAACTTAATGAGTTTTTATTTCATTAATGGTCTGCGTGTTAATTTTTATACTAATAAATGCTCTGTGTTTTAGATTCCACATTCCAAGATTTTGTGGAGCATCCTTGTATGTCCGAAATCAAACCTCGATCAGTGTTCATCCATGTTGATGTGCCTGGACAAGATGATCATGCAGATGACCTCCCTTCTGAGTAAATTTCTTTTTTTCCTTTAATAAAACTTTGAAATTGTAATCTTACTTCTATATTTGCCATCTTTTAATGTTATTTTCATAGATGAATATGTTCAGTGATATCAATTTTTAATATTTGCTACTTTTATTGTGAATTGCATATTCATTATTTTTTCACAGAAGTTTTCTAGCTTACACTTTCTATGTCGAGCAGTGTATTACATTGTTACCAAATTTTGAGACTTGTTTAAAATGTTTGCTATTATTAGTTTAGTTTTATGAATCTTTTAGTTAAGCATATATAGTTTTGCCTCAACAAAATGTATTTTATTAGCTTTCAGTTTCCAACAATTCAACAGCTGGGAGAAGATCTTGTCTGCATTTTAGATCATTTGAAGTAAGTATATTTCATTAAAATTTTACATTGTTTATTGTTCATTAAAATTTTACATATTACATGCAGTTTTCCTTTTTTTTTTAAAGTGCCTTTTCTTCATTTCTTCTTTCGAATCTAGTGTAGGGTATTTCTAGATGAATGAGTTTTAAAAGGATAATGCTAGTGTAAAATTTAGAAAAGTTGAATGTGAAATAGTGATGAGCATTTTGCAAATGAAAAAATATGAATGGAAAAAATATGACTGTAGCTAGAAGAATTCTAAAATAATTTCTCTTATTTTTTTCCTCTTATAAAAAAGTAGGATGATTGATATGAAAGCATTAAATTGTCATAATGTACAGTTCTATATCTCCCGTTTTACTGGGCCGATTGACGAAATTTAACTAGCATTTTTCATGTCTCAAAAACGTGACTTAGGGTATGTATTAGAAATATATGTTGCATTGTTCTAATATAGACACAATTGACACAACATCTAACTTTTTCTGAAATAACATACCAAACAATCATGCCAATTGCTTTCCATATTTCGAGTCAGCCACTCAAATTATGTCAAAGTGCCAAGTTTTGTAAAAATTGCAGGAGTAGGTTTTAAAAAATTAGCTTTCAAAATTTTAGCTCCTCCATGTTAATTGAATTTGGTATATATATATATATTAATAACTCTATTTTGATTCTTCCTTTCACATTTCAAAATTTAGGTTCATTCCAAATAAAATTCACCCAATTTTTTATTATTTGTTCTTAAAATTTGTATTGTTAAATATTTTTTATAAATTTTTCGAAAAAAAAATTTATTATAACCCATAAATTTTTACCATTATCTTAAAGTAGATGTATTTCTAAGCATACCTACAAAAAATTAGAGTTATTTATTCAAAATTTTTTAAGATATACATAAATTTCCATATGGTGAGTTTTGAAAATTGGCATATTTGTTATAAGCTATGATAAGGCAAAATGTGGTTTATGCACTTTGTTAATATTATTGGAAAATATGAATGATGATTTTTTTTCCACTCCTGTACAAAGAAAAAAAGGGAAGGAAAATAGGTTGCTATAAATTTAAAAGTTCACCAAGTGAACTATTCTTGCCACAAACTAAAAAAAATGTTCCAAGATAATTTTTTTAATTTCTCCATCAATTTTTCACCAAAAATTACAAAATTTAATATATAAGCATGACTCGAGTCGTAGAATCGAAATAAGGAAAAAAAAAAATTGGCATGTCACTTAAAAAAAAGTCCAATTTTGTGTCAAAATACCTATATTCAAATAATGCTATACATAAATCTAACAGATATCCTAAGTCGGGCTTTCAAGACATGAAAAACGCAATTTGAATTTCATCTATCGGCCCAGTAGAACAGGAGATATAGAACTGTCTCCCCCCCCCCGCAGTGTACATATATATATAATATATTTGTAAACTGTTTTAACAGAATAAAAGGGCTTGTAGTATCCATTAAGACAAATAATTTTGACAATAGAACCTAGGGCTACATTTCACTCAAAAAAGAGCTTCAAAATACATAAAGCAATAAGAAATCCTTACTTATGCTGTCATTTTTGTTCAGTCAGAGAAGTTGTACACCTCCAGAATATCATCATCAAAAATTTGCTGTGTGCTATTTCCAATAAAAAGAAGTAATATCGAAAATTGCAGCTGATTACCTCAGGAAGATTTAATAAAAGGCCAACAGTATCAATCATATGTTGTTCATTAAAAGCATCACAGATTCCACATTTCAGATTATTACCATAACATTATTTGAAATGACTTCATGAAAACCATGGCAGATGGCAAATAAATTTGAAGATAACTTTTTTATTGTTGTTAGGGAAAATTCAGTGTAAGAATTTATGTTTTTTAACATGATATGTGGCCATAGATTTCATTGTAAATAGTGTAATGATGGTTGCTTTACCAGTGGTTGAGTGGGTTATGATTCCTAAATACTAAGAATTCAAACCATATTTGATTCCAGGTGAACAGATAGGGTGCATGGTTAATTTCCATGGTTTTTCCCACATGTAACATGAATATGAGCCAGATTTTCTTCAAAAATTCCCCACAAAGGCATCCCTTTCTTTAGGCATGAGCTTTGCCTTCAGTTAACCTAACCTTCTTGATGGGTGCTGTCACTGCTCTTATTTTACTGAAGTAGTTTGTGAGTTTAGAACCTGCACAAAATATGTTTCAAATAGTAAATGCAAGGAAAAATAAAATAGATGAAATGCTAATACAAAAAAAAAAAAAAAAAAGAGAGAGAGAGAAAGGTTGTTCACAATGACTTACGGTAAATTTTTGTCCCTCTCCCTTAAAAAATAGACTCGATTTTGCTTATATCATTTTTTAAAATTTTATTTCTTTTTACTTTTGTATATAAGTTGTTAAAGGAAAATGTGAAAGGAATAAATAGTTAGGTAAAATGCAGTATTATATATATATTTCTATTTTTGATTAACATATTCATCTTAAGCAGTGTTTCTTAATTTTTTTAAAAAATTTTCTCATTCAGTCATTAGGTATTTTATAAGTATCGAAAATTAATAAAAGGTAATATTTATAATTAAATAAACTATTTATTTAATTTAATTTGTTAGTATCAGGGGTACTTTCTGATTATCTGCCACCCTCCAAAAAGTTATGAACTTGTTGGTGACATTGAAAAGTATTTGCAAACTAGTTGGCAACTAATTTTTTACCAAACTATTTCATGAAAGGTGATAAAAATTTCACACCAGGAATTCCATACAAGAGCAATCAATCAATAAAATTAAAAAAGAAGAAACATAGATTAAAAAACACTTTCCTTTTTCAAGAAATCTTTCTTTTTTTTTTGTGGTGTAATTCTCTGCATGTACACAGTGATTTGTTTTTGCTTACAAAACACATCAGAAAATTGCACAGACTCTGGTATTGTGCAGTAGCCCAAATAGACATGTGCTACATACATACCTAGGTTGCCATATAAATACTTTTTGGGGAATCATGGGTTGCTACATAACTATTTGATGACATACTGCTTTTGCCCATAAATAACGTTTCGTGACTTTTCGGCAGGGATGCACATAAACAGAAAGTACCGTATCTTGTACTGAAATAGTTTTAGATAAAAGTTGTGTTTGTATATTTTTTGTTGTAGATTTAGCTTTGCATCTATTCATAATTTTACTGGCATTTTTCATTGAAAAATTATTAATGAAAATTTTCAGGCTTAACACTTTTTATATTGCTAAATGGAATATTTTTAGCAAAACTAAATGACAATGCTAAATGAAGTTTTATATTTTTATTTAAAATAGAATTTATTTTAATTTTAATATAACATAATTTAAAATATAATTTATTTAAAATATAATATTTTTATTTAAAATATAATTACTAACTTCGCCATCTGATTTCATTTTGTGTTTTTTTAATGCAATGCTGCATATGTAATAAAAGGGATTATATTTTTCAGGGTGAAACTAGTGGTTGGTTTTGGAGAGGGTGCTGGAGCAAACATTTTAGTTAGATTTGCTGTGAGTAGATGTTGCTATAAGTATGGTATTAATTGTTCATTATGATAAAAATACTGCTTTGAACTGTTATGCCACAAGCGGGGTGTAATTCTTGAAAACACTGGTTTAAGTTTCAGGGTTTCTAGGATTGACAGTGAATATATGCATGATATTCATTCTGTATTTAGTGTGTGCTTCTGATTCTTGAACGTATAGCTCTGCTTTTGTGGGTGAATGGTGGATCAAGCAGTCATGGTTATTTTCAGTGAACTTGTCAAGGGAAAATATGTTTTTGCAAGAGAATTTTGAGTAGAAAAATTTGCTTTTAAACATTGAGGAAATGAAGAACCAAAATTTTAATATAGCTTTTGAAAGGAAAGGTGTAAATAATTACCACTCATTGTAAAACTGAAGCACAATTTTAGTGATAAACTTATTTTCTATTGTTTTCATGTGTCTTAAAATTTTAGATGTTTGAGAATCATTTTTCTTTTTCAGGACTGAATGCTTTTATTTTCTTGTTAGTGTATTTTGGTATTTATCAATTCATTGCACCAGGTGAAGAGAGAAAAAAGAAACATTTATGTTTTATTTATATTGTATATGGTGGAGTCATTAGGTTATTTTCAAATGAGAATCTTTCAAAACCAACTGTTTCTTTACCCAAGACTTCTGATTGGTGACTGGACATACTGATTCCTACACCTCGAAAGCATATGGAAGAAATGTCTGTTAATTTCTTAGAGTATGAACCATGGTATATATGAAATATGCACTTATATGTAGATATGTTCAAATAATGAAAACATTTCAAATTGCTGATATCCATGCTTAGGGTAAGAAAATATTTCCAGAAACAATCTTATGAGGCTTTTATGTTATAATTAGTGAATATTTAGTTGCTGTGAGTCCTGTTAATCTTTGTGAACTAAATATAACTGTATTAACTATAATTTTTGAAAGAAGAATGATTTCTCCCCTCCCCCTCAAATGATTGAGAAAGTTAGTTAATTTTTTCCAGTTATGCCAACACTATGTACCATAAGTCATCAGACACCCAATGCTGATGATCTTTTTGCTATTAGTACTTTTATTTGTTAATCTATTGATTTTTTTGCTATTAGTACATTTATTTGTCAAGGAAGATCTTTGAGAGCTAATAAAATATAAGAGGATTTTTCTGTTTAACAAGAAGAACAATGAATAGATTATTGTTTTGAATATATCAAGATCAAAGCACAATCATTTATGCAGAAATCTGTCTGACTGCATGACTAAATTTGTGAGCACTGACTGTTTGAATGATGAACATGCCCCATTTGAATGAACTCCGCTGTTTTCATTATCTTACTCTTGACACACTTCCATTTTGGTTGTAGCATAAAGCAAATTATCACATAAAGAATATTTTTAAAGCATATTCTTTGTGAGTTATGTAGCCATAGTAGAACAGTTCTGGGACAAATACTGCTTTTTGTTTATTATGTAAACTTTTGAGTCAGTATGATTTAAGATTTTCAACTATTATAAATAAAGCAAAATAAATAAAGAAGCTAAGATTTACTATTAAGAGAAACATTTAGATGATACAAAAGATGAATTGAAAATGGCATTATTTACATAAAACTTCAAAAAATCACTGTTATACATTAAAAAAGATATATATATATATATATTTAGGGTAAGGAAATGGATTTTTGGAAACTTTTTAATTTTTTTCCTAATTTTTGAAAACCATTCTTGTGACAAGATTGCAGTAAAAATTCCTACATTTGATCACCCTCACTTCCTGAAATGGATAAAGAATTATAAAACATTCAGAATATGTTTAGAAAAATTTGTGCCGTGTTTTTTTTTCCCTTCAGGGAAATTTAAAAGTTCTCCCAAAATACTAGTGCATTATGGTAATTTTATAAAATGGAGCTTTTGAAAATACTTTGCTGAATAACTTGGGAATATAGTTTAAATTTCTTTTCAATAAGTAATCTCTTAGAATATTCTTTGCAATTCTTTCTTGACACTGATTTATGAATGCTCTGTTTTTATATTGTGTTTGCAGTCAAATATTCATTTTGTTTGTTTATTTAATTTGTATGATTTGTTGACAGAATAATAGATGTATAGCTACCTAATTTTAAAATATACTATAAAAGGTGGATATTTTATATCAAGGGTTTTCCTATCTTATTTACTAGAGGAGCAACTTTTTGGAATCAATAACTGTTGTGGAGCCCCTTGCGCTTATCTTATATACCGTACAAGTAATGGTACTTAGGAGTAATATTATGGAAGATAGAAAGAAAAAAAAAAAAAAAAAGACAAGGTAAAACTGGAGGTATCTAAACAATTGCACTATATCCACACATTGAAATTATATTTTAATGGTACTTAGGAGTAATATTATGGGAGATAGAAAAAAAGAGAATAGAAGGTAAAACTGGAAGTATCTAAACAATTGCACTATGTCCATACATTGAAATTATATTTTTAAAAACCTTTGAAATTTGCCATTATATCTATATTGAAATTTACCATTTCTATATTTCTTCTCGAAACTACTGAGATGCATGATATTGTAAAATCTTGCATTGCATAAATTTTCTTCTAATGTTTAATAAGTCAAACCATTTGCACTACAGCAGATTTTATCTAACTGACGAAAATAACAATTAAAAAGTCTGTGCAATTAATTAATTTCTTCCATTTTAATATAGTGCAACTAGAGCACTTTGACGTGCAGCTGTAGGCCAAATTTAAGACATGGAATATGATATGTACCAGTGTTAAATGAGATACCTATGTTTTCCAACAGTGTTCTCTTGTTCATTTGAAGATAATTGCAGGTAAATGTCTGGTTCTGACCATTTAAGGAGATTCTTTATTTTGATTAGTTCCTAAATTGGTAGAAAATCTCATTTTATAGAGATGCATAGAGAAGAATAGAGTAATAGTTCCAGCTTAAGGGGAAATGCCTGCAACTTGCGTAATGTGATATTTAAATTATGTTATTTAATTGCTGTTTCTAAATAAATATTACCAAAGCAGAATGGCATATCATTAAATATGAAAACTATAGCAATTGTACTTGAAAAATAAAAATAAAAAAATATATTGAATGCCATTAATCAAAAGTGTAAAGCAGTATCACTCACTGTAGTAGGTAATTCTTATAACTGTTCAATACTCTTAAACAATTTCATCATAATGTAAATTATTTTATGACTTTGCAGTAGTCAACCTCTCCAAAACAACCTTTGCAACTCCATTTAGAATAGGATTTATACCTCAACTATAGTTTATTGTTTTTCTGAATGTCCCAGAAACAATACAGATCACCCTTGCTTAAGAAATCAACCATTTTATTGTCATATGCTGTGGATGCATTGATATTTTTCATCTGTTCTAATCAGGTTAGGTCTTTGTATCTTAACATCATTTTCCTCCTTTTTCTATCTGGATTTTAGTTTGAATTTTGATTCCTCATACTGCACATTTTTTGTTGTTGTTGTTTTGGTCCCCCCCCGTAAGCTTATTTTGACACTGCTATCATTGTAAACAATGTCCAATAGTAATCCGGTAGTGGTTACTCTTTCCAGAACTCAAAAAACACATATACATTATTCAGATTTAAATTGTTTTTTAACAGTGTAGGATTTATGTATAAGCTACACAAGCTATAATTTAAGGCCTCCACTTTCTTGGGGGCCCTCAAAAAAACTTTAAATATAATATTAATATAGTATTAAAATATAGTAGTATAACAGACTTATAAAGGATCCTATATCTCAAATAGCTTAGGGCCTTATCAAGTCTAAATCCGGCTCTGTTTTTTTTAAGGATTTTTATATTTTTTAATGATCTTCATAAATTAAATGGCAAAATATACAGAAAATGTTGATAAATACCAAAACTTGGATAAAAGTAATTTTTTATATTCCTACTTATATTTAGCCTTTTATTTAATAGCTAAGCAAAAGGCTTACCACATTCCTTCCTGAAACTATGAATTGCCCCTTGGTTGAGAACCTCTGCAATATAGCATTATTGCTGATTAAAAATGCTGTTACATATGCATGCAGTTGCATCAAATGGGTCTATGCTGTACCTTATGACAATGTTTTTTTTTTTTTTTTTTTTTTTTTTTTTTTTTTTGTGCAGCAGGAGAGATTCATTGTGGTTTCCTGTATATGAGTAGTGTGTTTGTAAGAGATCATCGTTATATGCAATTTATTATTTTTATAGTATCAATCAATCTTTGTATTTTCTTTTTTTTGCTGGGGACAATTATCTTTCTGTCACATTTTGAAAACAGGGATTGTCACTAAAATTCAAAAATGCCCCCTTCCCCCTGGAAAGCTCGTCTGACAAATAAATGCTGGACTGTATTGCTTCTTTATTATCTTTTCTGTCATTGAGGAACCTGGAGAAGTGGTGGAATGTACATTTTTTTTTTAAAGTACCAGTTTAAAACCAGTGATCTTTATTTAAAAGAAAATCACACAGAAGAATAACTAGTTTTATCTTTTATAATCCAGAATATGAAATAAAGCAAATAAAAATTTAATAATAAACTACATATATATGAAAACCTACTATACTACTTGAAAACTATTGAACCTATAAAACACAAGTCAATCATTAATGCAATGTTTTTGACCAGATATGTATCACAGTAATTCCAGGATTCAAATGTATAACAAAAAATTTTATCTATAAATATTTACTAGTTACACAAATAAAACAGAGAGGTCAGGTGCACAGTAAACTGGCAGAAAATTACCAAGTATTAACAATATTGTCACTGTGAAAGTTCATTGAGAAATTATTTCAAATCAACTAGTTAGTGTCTACTTATACGGGTTATATAAAGAGAGGCTGGTTGTCAACTAGTAAGGCTGTATTTATATGAGAGAGCAGATTCCAGCAATCCTCGAAGGGCCGAGAATTGCTAAGAAACTTCTTGAATTGAATGTCCAAATGAATGCCAAGAAATCATTTTGACATTGAATTCCATAAAAAGCTAGTGGTATGTGACAGATTGTGTGCAAAAGGCCAACTCCTTACTCAGCTTCATTGTCTACCTGTCTTAGGGTACAGTAATTTTGGGGCCAGTGGGTAGGAGAACAATCAAGTATGTCTGTAGAAGAAGACTGTAGAAGGCATGAGGTTCAGCTTCGCAGATTTCCATTCCAGATGTAATTTCCAACATTCTTATTTTTATTTTGTAAATTTTTATTTCTTTTATTTTCTTGGATCTGCCATGGAGCACCTTGCCATGGGAAGTGCGTGCAGAAACACCTTAAGGGCTTTGCTGAGCATAGTTTGGGAACTGCTGGTTTATATTTGACTATTAATTGACAATACATATGGAAATTTTATTTTGTTACTAAGTGCTCACTTTAATTGGACACATGACCAGTTTCCTTGTGCTAAACTGGCATTGAATGCATGCACCATTTAAAAATTGAAATGTGAAACTCTTTACATTTTAATTGAAGCAATGTATCCACAAAATTTAATTAGAGACTTTTTGAAACTGAATTATAGCCTTACGAATACACGTGGAAGGACCATTTTTTAATAATATAGATATCTTATTATTTGCTAGAAGTGGATGTAGATTTATAAGAGAACTGTTTGGATGTAACCAGATTATTTTATCAAATGTTATAGAGTGGCAACAAGAGCAATTTACAGAAGTCAATCTTCAGCTGCGATGAGGATAGGTTCTCCAGTATCGTGTCTCTGCGACTCAAATGTTAATTCTAAATGTTCTGTTTTGGTGTATGCTCTGTTCTGATATATATATATATATATATATCAGAACACCAGTGTATATGTATATATATATATATATATATATACATATACACTGGTGTGCAAAAATTACGGACGAGACGGTTTTTTCAATATAACTTTGTACAAAAGCTTTCCAAATGAACACATTTAATACCGTAAGATCCCAATACGTAAGGACATGAATAATGAAGCAACACTTACTAACGCGCAATGACGACTGAAGGCCGAAACATCCCGTGATGGGTGTCCTAGCAAGAAACATCCGTTCTTTAATAGGGGATATGATCTCCCTGACTGCTAGCAGGTTTCACAGCGTCTGCCCATGCTGAGAATGAGGGGTGTCAATGAGTGAGAGTTGTGAGGCATTGCTGCCCCATTCATCTTGCAGCGCCAATCAAAGCTCCGGAATCATTACTGGTGGTAAGGTACAAGGCTGCCAAGCGTCTGCCTAGAAAATCTCATACATGCTCGATGGGATTGAGATCCGGAGATCGTGCTGGCCAATCCATACGTTCAATATCCTCACTCTCTAAGAGAGCTGTTCGGCAGCTATTGTGCGTGATGACATGGTGCCATTGTCGTCCATGAAAAGGAAACTGCGGACCATAGCGCCTCTAAAAAGACGCACATATGGAAGAAGAATCTCGTTACAATAAGGGTCCCGTTGACTGAACCTGCGGCGAAGATGTGAAGGTCTGTATGACTGCCAAGCATGATGCCTCCCCAAACGAGAACACCGCCACCTCCATATCTGTCCCTTTCAATGATGTTCGAGGGATGATTGCAGCTTTCCCGCTTTCTCCAGATGAGTATGCGATGAGAATCGCTACTCAGACTGAGTTTGCTCTCATCTGTAAAGAGTACTTGTCCCCATTCATTGTCTCTCCAATTCCGATGTTCTCGGCACCACAGAGAACGCCTTCTCCGATGGGTAGGCGTTAGAGGTACACACCTACAGACAGGGCGTCGTGCAAACAGACCACCACCGTGCAGTCTTCTGGCCACGGTAAAAAAGCGATATATCGGTCATCCAGTCGCCTGTGTTGTGTGTCTAGCGATTTCTCCGCTGTCTGCCCGCCTGCTGTTTCTTCTGGCCTGTAAGGTAATATACCGTCATCTGCGGTGTGGGTTCATCATGGACGACCACTAAACCCCCCGGATAGCTGTTCCTGTAGTTTGAAATTGTCTCCAAAGTCGTGAAACGATGCTGTGAGCAATTCCGAACTCTGCAGCCACACTTGTCACACTGCCGGCCTTCCTCCAACTTTCCAATGATTCGACCTCGGGTAAAAAATAGTCCGTGTAAACAGATTGATTATTCGCCATTTCTCGCTGAGGCAGCAACTCGGTTGATTTTAACTGCTATACGGCGTGCAATCTCTTGCCAGAAATAATGATCTTAACGACAACATGCTTTATACTACTCGGACACTCCCCATTACGTCTACCTGCATACTGCACATGTACATCACCTTACTTAATCTCCTGATTGGTCTTCTGTCCGCTCTGCCTCTTTGTTCAGCTGATATGCTAATTTGACTCGTCCTTAATTTTTTTGCACACCAGTGTATATATATTTCTATATATAGTGTGTGTGTTTGTTCTTTGTTAACTTTGTAATAAATACTTTTAGATCTAACTGCATTTTGTGTTTGTAGAAAATGGTCACAGATTGATTAAAAACCTTTATATACTATATCAGAAAATATATTTATAGGATTTCTAAACTCTGTTTCCCAGTTATAATCTTTTATATAAAATATTTATAAATACTTTATATGAAATAATGCAAACAAAATGTGCACTAAAAATTTTAGAAATGTACAGTTTGTAATTTTTTTTTACTTATTAATCCTCCCCACACATGTATCTAAAGGAACCCGAATGCAAGGAATATTAAAATTTTAAGTAAAAGGTGATTGCCTGAATAGCTGTTAGTAATACTATCAGTTCATCTTGTATTCATGTGTTCTTACATAATTGGCTGTTGTGAAAGATGTTTTTTATGTTTTTCCAGTTAGCACATCCATCAAGAGTTCTGGGGTTAGTTCTTATCCACTGTGTGTCCACTGGTGTGGGTGTTATGGAATATTTTAAAGATAAGGTGAATATCTAAGCACTGTTAAAATGTAGAGTAATTAAGAACATTCTAAATTTAAACTTTAAACCAATTTTGACCTAATATTGTATTTTAAGAATGTGAATATAATCAGTATAAATAAGCTTTTAAAATTGTCATCATTTTTGCTGTTTGAGAGATACAATTTATTGCTGATTTATTCATGCATGTGTGCATTTAGATTTTTTTAAAATATATAATTATACAAGACAGCACATGGTTAAGAGTTAGATGAAATTTCAAATTAACAAGAGTTCATTTTATGATATTTAAAAATAGTAATTAAGGAATTATTGAAGTTCAGGTAGGCTTTATGTTTATTCAATTTTTTAAAATTTCCATGTGAGTATACAAGAAAAATACATGTAATTGTAAAAATTTCAAAGTTTATTAGATACGCAGCTAGATCAGGCATGCAAAACTCAGTAGCTCAGGAAAGCCAAATAATCATCATTTTAACAATAATGTAGGCTGCAAGGGAAAAAAAAGAAGGCCATTTCCATTCTTAATGATGTATTTGAAAAGTGAGTAAATATGTAAAACCTTACCTAATACTGCAGTTGTTTAAAAATAGATTTAAACATAAGGAAGTTGTGGTTATATATGGATACTATTGCTTCTTTCACAAAACCTGGCATCTTTTTCCCTCAACTAGATATCAGATGCCTGGAGACCTGCTCACTTTAGCAATTTTCAGAAGTTATATTAGGGCCTGTTAATTTGGATTTTGTAGGATTTTTTTCCCTTTGCCTAAATGAGAAAAGCTGTTAACATTTATATGTGTTCATGAACATGGAAATCGTGTACAAAATTTGTGGCTTTCTGCAGACTATGCAGGAAGATATTTGTAAAACTCAAGGATAGCTACTTCACTGAATTTTTGCTTTAGAATTTAGTTCTGAATTTATGTTAATATTGTCTGTAAATAGGCTGTCTTTTTTTCAAAATGTTGGTTAAAAAAGTACTTTTGTAAAAAGTCCTTTGTAGCATCCGAGTTTGTATATATGCCTTGATATGAGGTGAATTCCAATTTTATTAGTGTATTATAATTATATATATTGTTAAAATCTCAGAGTAAATAGAGGGTGGCAGAAAAATGAGTGAAGAGCCTTGTGTTTGATATGCCGGATCTAGATAATGGACCTTTCTTTCAGTTAGTTAAAAAGTTAATTAAAATTTTTACCTATATGTAAAATTACAGTATTGCTAATTCAGTCATATATAATTTATGTGTAATGGATAATAATAAACTGGATAACCTAAGTTATAATACCTACATTTCTACTGCAGTTAAAAAAAAAGACCTGCTCATTGACTGCAATAATAGACATATATGTGTAACTAAGATAAATTTCAAGCATCACTTTTTTAATTTGTTGTTCATGTATTTTATTGGTTATGGTTTTGATGTTATTTATATTGCTTCTATCTTATATATATATATATATTTATCTTAATATAGTTCATGAATTGGAAACTTTCCAATGTTGGAATGAATCCTTCTACAGAACAGTATCTAGTGCTTCACAAATTTGGAGCGGTATGAGAATTTTATTTCATTGTAATTTACGATTTCTAATTTCATATTATAAAGGAATTTTGTTACTATTATTTTTGTATACATAGAAATACACAAACATAGAAAATTTCTACGTACAAGAAGCAGAGAATTGTGATAAATATAAAAATTATTTCCGTAAATTTGTTATTTAGTCTAAATTACAGTCTTTTGATAGATAATTATTTTTCACATACATTTATGTTATATATTACAAAATAGTCATTTTTTTTGGAAGAATAGTGGAAATTTATTCAGATGAAGATGTATTGCCTGTCTCCTTTCAAAAATAATTAATTTTCTGCATGTTATAAACAAAATACAATGAAATCTTCCAGAGACAATCAGTCATAACTCCAGAAGATTTTGAGGTGGTCACATCAAAGAATATGACTGTTAGTGATGCTCAATTCTCAGAAGTAGTGGTCACTTTAAGAAGTGATTGCCATGAGAAATTGTTTCCTCTGTTGTCGTCTTAGAGAAAAGGACTGTCAATGGTGTTCACTATTGTTATTTAATTATCTTCTCAGAATCTTGAGAATCATTATTTAAAGAAACAGTACTGACTTTAAAGCAGTGATTCCCATGAGAGCCGTATATTTATATGATTTATTATTTGACATTTTATTTCTTATCTGAATATTAGCATGGTAATTTTAGTATTAGATTTTTTTTTGTGTGTGTGTGTGAAATGAAGTCAACTTCTGATTAATAAGGATAATATCAGGATTATCCTTAATCAATAAGAACTAATGAAGACAATTAGTTCTCCTGCTGACTGTGAGATTCGTGCCGTGATTAAATTTTTGAACGCGAGGAATGTTAAACCAGCCGAAATTTATCGTCAAGTAACAGAAGTTTACGGTGAATACGCGATAAGTGATGGAATGGTGAGAAAGTGGGTAGAATGTTTAATGCAGGTAGAACAAATGTCTATGCCGAGGCTCGGAGTGGTCGGCCTTGTGTTGTCATCGATGATTTGGTAAGGAAAGTTGATGAAGCAATTCATAAGAACAGACGCTTCACAATGACAACTCTTTCAGAGGCATGTCCACAAATTTCACGTACTGTTTTGTTCAAAATTGTGTCTGACCGCTTGAATTATGGCAAACTGTGTTCCCGATGGTTTCCAAAAATGCTCACTGATGTTCACAAAACAAAGCGACTTGGTTGTGCCCTGACATTTCTCACGTGGTACAGTGATGAGGGAGAAAACTTTTTAAACCAAATTGTGACAGGTGATGAAACTTGGGTGTGTCATTTCACACCAGAATCAAAACAACAATCGATGGAGTGGAGACACACTCATTCTCCGAAAAAACAAAAGTTCAAAGTGACAATGTCATCACAAAAAATCATGTGCACTGTCTTCTGGGATAGGAAGGGCTTTTTGCTTACTGAATTTCTTCCCAGAGGTGAAACCATTAATGTGGCACGATATTGTGAGACTTTAACAAAACTAAGGCATGCCATTCAAAACAAACGAAGAGGAATAGTAAGTAAAGGAAATTGTGTTGCTCCATGACAATGCTCGCCCCCATACTGCTGGTGTCACTCAATCGTTAATTTGACAGTTTCATTGGGAGCAGTTCGATCACCCGCCGTACAGCCAGGACTTGGCGCCATCCGACTATCACTTGTTCCTGCACATGAAGCGCGAGCTTGGTGGCAAGCGCTTTGGATCTGACGATGACACGAAAAATGCTGTGGAGTCGTGGTTATCGAAACTGACGGGAAGTTTCTTTGACGATGGTATACAAAAACTGGTCACCCGCTATGACAGGTGTTTGATCATTGGCGGAAACTATGTTGAAAAATAGTTTAAGACATGTATTTTCATGTAAAAATAAAATTGGATTTGAAAAAAATTGTTTTACTATTTTTTTTTTTTCAAAACGGTACTTAGTTTCCGAATACGCCTCGTATAAAGAATAACCCACATTATGCTGTAAAATATGCACTAGTTAGTAAGGCCTTTGCCAACCGTGGCTTTAGCCAAGCTGGTAATCAGTTTAAAGAACTCTTTGGAAAGTGTTATAACATTAGGAGAGATGTTATAAAAATTATTAACATTTGGACATTCTTTCATAGTGATTGATACTTAACTTTTCTTTTTCAGTTAGTAGCCTTGCATTGTGTGTAAGATAAATTGTGACTGATCCTATTGTGTATTAGGATAAAAGATGCAGTTTACTTAGGTTCAAGGTAAAAGCAACACTAACCGTCAGACATCAAGGAATTTGTAGGCATATTTCAGAGGAGAAAGGGATACAAATAGATTGCTTAAGTTGATGTTTTGGAATGAATAAATGTGAAAAGATTTCTAGTTTTGAGTGACAAAATCGTTCACATCGTAAGTACAAAGAACAGTAAAATTGCAGAGATGATAGTGATGCTTAGAATGATAAAACAGAAACAAAGTGAAAATTACCAATGCTGAAACCTTCTGTAAAAATGTTTAATATTTACAGCAGTATCTTGGTGCTTCTCTGTGGATCTGTAGTTGATCAAAAATTGATGTGAGCATACAATGGCTGTCTTAAGTTATAGAACTATTTCATTGAAAAATAAATAAATAAATAAATAAAACCATAAAATCAAATGTAAGAAATTTAACAAAATTTCACAGTTTTTATGAAATTTGATAGTTTTTCTGTTTCAGATTTTTTATAAATATTTTTGTCATGAAATGAAATTTTATCTGAATTATTTGTTACTTGAAGGAAATAAATTTTATCGAACTAGTAAATGAGATTATTAAAATGTTAATTATAATAATTTTGCACTTAGTATTTCAAGCAAACAGTTTTTCGTTGCAGTCCCAGCTGTCTCACATAATTAAGGTCAAAGAAAAGTGTTAAGAACAACTTACTTGTGTTTTTCAAGCAGCTTAGTCTGAAGAATAAGTATCTGGTTACATAAATCAGTATTCATAGTTGAGGACCAACATTTTTTTTCTGCCATGCTTCTTTCTTGTTTCATTGTCCACCGGCTGGTGTTTTTTTTTTAAAAAAACATCAATCTTGCATTTTGTTAAGAGTCTATGAAACAGGAGACTGTTTTATATATACTTAATTTATTCTCAAGATTGAGCAATTTATTTTGAACCAATGATTTAACATTGTTTGTATAATTAAGACACAATAACACGCCGAATAAATACTAATTGTATTAGTATTGTTTGTATATCAAATTACATGGAATTATATTTTATTGCGGAAAATCATGATTCCCATTTATTTTATGGTGATTTCTTACATTAGTAATTTTCTCATTGTCCTGCAGTAAACAACAAACTAACTACTTTTTTAAAGTTCTAGACAGGGTTCAGTTAATCTTCAGCCTAGTTTGCCCAATTAATTGGGAGTTGACTGCAATCTAACATAAATATGTAATTATATTTAAGGTAGTAATTTTATTATGGAAGAAGAAAAACAAATTTGTGAGGCTTTCAAAAGATAAAGACTGAAATTTCACAAAATTTTGCCGTTTAGGGTGTACAATAATTTTTGCAAATATTTAAGCAGGCAAATACATCTTAATCTTTCCAAGGAATGTCATATGAATTTGTGGTAGTGATGCAAATGCTTACATGTAATTAAATAAACATTATGTTACATATTTTAAAACCAATAGTTCTTTTTATAAATTGGTTAAGTTCTACCAGTGTTATGAGTGCTATACCTGAGAGCTAGATATACATTAAGTGGCAAGAGTTTTGAAATATTACATCATACACGCATAGATTTTCTTTTGTAATGCAACGCTTGTTACATTATACATGCACATATTTTCTTTTGTGATTGTGATGACTTCATGGTTTAATAAGGCACCATTTAGCAAGACGAAACAAACATTTATTAAATATATAATTCAAATAATAATATAATAGTTACTCAGAGCAGTACGTCGCTCCTACCGCATAGTACAATCTACTACCTTCCTCTTCCGAGGCTAACATGCAACTCCTAATAAATACATTAACCCTTCTCGAAGAAGAGCTACCTGCGCCAAGCATGCTCTGTTGATCGCCAAACAGTCGCCAGATATCACACCCCCGTCGTAAGATTGTTGTTGATATTATTTACAAATCAATCAGCAATCTGGAAACTAAAATCTAGCAACTGTTTGCGATCAACGTGAAAAAAAAAAAAAACTACATATACTTTTATACATTCTATCCTAATTTTTTCAAATCTCAATTACTATAGACATACCTCAATTTACTACATAAACATAGATAACACATTTTTTATATATAACATAGATAAATCATTTTTAACTTCACTTGTTCCGAACCTTATTATTATTGTAACAATTTATCAATTCTTAATTCAAAGAAACCAAGTTGATATTTTCTTTTATAAACATGTTAAAATATACCCTAGTATTATTCCAATGATGACAGTAAAATTATTAAGTTTCTTATATATATATAAAAATTATATTCTTAACATTCCTTTTAATTAATGATGCTGCAGCATGATTTAAAATCCTTGGGAGACAAATATCTAAATTTACCACTTACCTCGAATATTTGTTATCCAATAATTTCTCTATCTATTTCAAATTACATAAACATCTTATTTGCACAAAATTGTAAAATGATTATGAAAAGCAAAGAAAACTATCTAATTATTAACTATACAAAATGTTCGTGAAGATGAACAGTAAATTAATGTTCAAAGTTCACAAGTGGGAAGTCTGGATAATGCATCCGCGTTTGACAGTTTTTTTTCCAGGGCAATGTTCTATTTCGAGATTATATTTCTGCAAAGCTATGGCCCATCGTTGTAATTTGGACGATTGCGGAGCATTTCTCACTATAAAGGCTAGAGGATTATGATCAGTCACAATTTTCACCGATGAACCGAATATCCAAGGTTCAAACTTCTTCAATGCCCATACTATAGCATAAGCTTCACGCTCTATAGTCGGCCAGCTCTGTTGAGGTTTCGATAATTTCTTGCTCGCGTAGCAGA